TACAAACTATCAAGCATACGAGTATGAATAATTCCGCCTCCATTTCAAATTACAAAAAAATGAAACTTAGAAAAAGTAATCAATATCTGAGCTGTTCATGAGGACTTTCGAAGAAAAGACTTCGTTGATTCGCCAGTAACTTCGCTTTAGATGTAAAATATTGAATAACCTTCCAACAATCTCCGTTATCATATACTTTCTCATTACATACCCGTCAGAACTGTTCATCTGATTTTGACAAACCTAGATTCATGTTGTATTTTGGAAATGTCATATTTAATATTAGATATTGTTTTTGAGAAGAAATCACACTTCTCGCTCTGATAGTTCAGATCATTATCTACCTAGGGATAGAACATCGAAAAGCGATTTACGTCTAATCAACTGGCAGTTCATTTTGTGGGGGCTCCCGTTACCGATTTAATGATGACAAAGTTCCGTCTGTGGAGTTTGCATTCAATAAATTGAAATGAAATATTTGCAAAGTGATGCGAATCCACCCCAGAGATGCTTAGTATCCATTACGAGTTGAGAAAACTCGGAACTGTTATCCGTATAGAACAAACTTTTATCAAAATACTTCCAACTGTTAGAATACCACCACTCATAAATTACATGTCTAAAAACGACTTTATAAAAGTTTTTCAGTGGATGCAAATAAAAGTGCTTAAAAATCGATTTAAAAGCCAACGTAGCTGCTGGCGAAATTTTACTGCAAACTAAAACAAGCTTAGAGGCCCCCTTCAGTCTTGATGGCCTACAATTTTTCGTTTTTGAAAGTATGTCACTCTTACGAAATTTTCTCTAATTCATTAAGAAATTCAAACATGTATATTTATTTCATTCAGCAGAAGCTAGAGCTATCCACCTATAAATATTTTCTATATTTGACTGATGAATTCTGATTTTCATGAGGAATTTGACATCATAGGCATGGGTTTTACATAGGCGTACATATGATGATTCAAATGACAGTAACCTGTAAGAATGCCTGTTAAACATTGTAGTATATCTCTCCTGCAGTTCAACAAGTGTTTGGTATCAAGCTTCGAAGGATGAATATACGCTTTGGAGTCAGCCAATCCTGGAAGATTCTGCCAGAAGTCCATAAATATGCTTGCCATTCAATCTTCTTCAATCTTTGTTTGACAAAGCCTAAAGCGATGCCAATGACAGGTTCTGGTTCGATAAAGCTGCTTGCATCACCCTCCTTTGCAAGGGAGTCGGTAGCATCATTGCCTTCCAGGCCAGTATGGTCAGGAATCCAGACCAGAGACAATCTGTTAAGTCTTCCTATCGAGGATAGTCGTTTTTGGCAATTTGCTACGAATTTAGACGTTGCTCGGTAGGAGCCAAGAGCTTTCAACGCCGCTTGACTGTCCGAGAATATTTTCATTGACTTGTATATGTATATGAGGTTGGGTTCTTCCAATCTCTACGCACTAAATTCAATATCGTAAATTTCCGCCAAATATTCCGCTTGAAATACAGTCGCATAGGTTCCTAGGCAGGTTGATATCTCTATCCTAGGTCTGCGACTGAAAACACCCGCACCAGAACCTGAAGGTGTTTTTGATCCAACCAACAACTATCTGCTCTTAATATTTCCTTCTCCCGGAAGATCCAGTCTTTTCTACTCAGGAACAGTACTTTATAAGACAGTTCGTAGTTGACATAACGTCGAAGGTCATTTCCAGAATGTTGTGACTTCCAGTGTCAACCAACAGTCTGTTGCATTCTGCATCAAATTGATTTGTGCAATTGGTAACGTGCACACGTCTATATGCATCATGGACACAAATCTTTCAATGCAATGTTTTTGACAATATTCATCAAGTTTCTATCAAATGTCAATTAATTAAAATCTTTGAATTGTTTGAGTTAATGTCATTCACAGTTATACAAGTTACACTTTCTATTGAACTGTTAATTTCTGAATGAAACCTTTTATCAATTAAAATCACTTTCTTCTCTCTCTGCAATTTGATACTATGGATATCCTATTTCGTTCTAAAATTTCAGGTTTTCTGAATGAACATCGGAACAAATTTAGCTGCTGATCAAGTAACCTTGTTACTTGATCAGTAGCATTTCAAAATGTTGGACTACTCCATAACTTCCATTTGTCGCATGTGCAACCTAAAACGACTTTAGGAATAAGTTAGTCTTTTCCTACGTATGTTCGCTTCTCATTTAAGGACAAAACACAAGCGCTACAGGAAAATTCTCAAGGCGCTCTAAGATCGATGCCTGTGCGGATGTAGCGAATCACACTTCCCGATAAAATATCTATAGAAAAGAGATAAATCTCCAATCTTTCTTCGATGTTCCAGACTATCATGGTTGCAAGTGATGTTCGTGTCTCCAATCAGGCGGATGCCTCTTTTCTAGATGGAATTCAGCAACTTCAGGATACGCTTCCGCTTCTAAGCGTATCCTGAAGTTGCAGAAGGTGCGTCTCATGTATGGATACGCTTAGGGGCTCCGCTCCGCCACTAAGCGTATCCATACATGCGACAAAACTCCACTGATCTCAGCTTCATAAAGCATCAAAATTTGCTGAGGAGTGTACAGTTTATTGGTTCGGAACAATGTTCAAAGCTTTTGAAAAGCAGCCTTTGTAATTTTAGCGACATGACTCTGCCAAGACATATTGATGACCATTTCAATCCATAAAAAACTTTTTGAAGCCAAAATTGGAATTGTTGTGACATTATTATATCCGATTCGGTGACATTTTTGTTTTTGGAGAAAACCAATGCTTGGGTTTTTGAGGCATTGAATTGAACCTGGTAAGTCTCACCCCAATTCAAAAACAATTCTAGATCCTCATTACGATATGCAACGACCTGCTGGCGGAGAAGATTTGCATCCGCAGCCCATGTCCTGGAATCCAAATGGAATGATATGACAAGTGTGAGTACTGGCTTTCCCAGTAAATTGACTATGGAGTGAGATGCAAATTGTTCAGCAAGTAGATTTGCTTTTATATGGCTGTTGTTGGAATTGAACCATCCACTTGTTTTAGTAGTGGAATTGTTGATTTTGTGAAGTTTTGATTGACAGCTTCAGCTACCGACCAGGAGAATGTAGACCCGTTGGGATTGACAAGCAGTTTATCTCTAATTTTCTGATTGTGAAATTTTTTGCTTTCATTCATTCTAAGTTTGTAACTGTTGAGAACATCAACAAACCTAGTTCGGTTTTTGGCACTGGGATTGTTGCGCCACTACCGGTAGGCAAAATTCTTGGAGGCGGCAACTCGCTCGCAATTTTGTTGAACCAAGGTTTGCCGTTAGATGTTCGTTTCATTAAAAAAAGAATATATTCATCTATGGCTGATAGAATAACTTCCGTAACTTCAGAAGCACAAGTCGATGGATCATTAAAGCATCTAGTCAGGGAAAATTACCAAACTTTGTGAAGGTTAGATTGTTCTTCAACATTCATCGGTAATTCAGCCAACACTGAAATGAGTTTGGGGTCAGAAGATCCCAATGGACCCCTTACGACGACTGTGTAAATTTCTGGATTGGTTGTTAACATATTCTCCTTCACGGCAGGAATCATAGTTGGCTTCGCGACCTTGTTCGTCGTTGATTTTTGAAAATTTTAACCATTCGATATTGTGTATTTTGAAGTCACCGAATATGGAAATTTCGGCACCGAGATGATTGATTTGCAGAATGTTAATGGTGTTTGCAAGTGAAGACAATAGTGACCCATATTGTTTATGGCTTGGTGGCCGATAATAATAATAATAATAATCTTTATTCGATCCTTACAGATCACATACAGCATGATATAGGATACGTTACAAATAAAAAAACCGTGTGATGATAGACAAATTCACACTCAACAATATTGAAATATCACAATTCAATAGATTTGTTCACATATACATGAAAACATGTATAACATTTATATTCATACATATGAGCAAACACATTTTCATTTTGCATCAAGAAATTCTTTGATACTGTAATAACATTTTTCTTGCAAATATACTTTCAATTTTGATTTGAAGAAATTTTCATTCCGTTGCTCTCTCAGGTTTGCGGGAAGATGATTGAAAAACTGTATACCTCAGCAGCATATGAATTTAGTGATCTTGTATGATATTATTTCAAACCACATAACATAAGTTTTGGGGTTCCAGCATTTCCTCTCATTGACAGGGGAGATCGATTCTGATAAAAAGTGATATTCCAAAGTTACGTATGAAACGGGAGTGGAAATCATAGCCAGGATATAGAAAATTGACGGGATTTGTTGAAGCACTGACTTTGGTTTCTGTGAGTGTAAGAATATGAGGACTATTTGATTGCAGATGTTGGTGTACTGAGTTCATATTTGAGTTGAGTCCAGTGATGTTGCAGAAATCGATTTTGAAGTTGCTAGTGGGCCTCATAGCAACTGCAGTTACCATACTATTTCCATGTATACTGAAGATCCTGCTGACTGTCAGAAATAGTAGTTTTCGAATAACTTCTGCAAGATTATGCCCTCGAATCAGTCTCAACCCGTAGATCCAATTGGGGAGCTATCTTATTTTCGGAATAGTATGACGCTTTCCCACTCTTGAAACCGCAAACAGCGGCACAGCAACGAAACGTTAGCCCGAAAGCAATTTCATGCTGCCTAAGCCGTTGCAATGGTATATCACTGGACGATGCCGGTAGAGACCGACATCTACCATATAAGTAAACTTTCGAATTTGAAATTGAAACATCGATAACTGTTTACATTATCTATTTTACTCTTTCTTCAAACAAAAATGGCTAAAAAGTATAATTGCGCTATACAACTACTTCTGCGTCAATCTAATCAGTTCGTCAAACTTTGAAATATCCTGCTAGCAATTGTCAGATCTTAAGAAACACATAATCGAAGCTCTCCACACGCAGTAACATTGTTTTCCCATAAACGCGATTACATCAATGAGAATGCCGCAAACCATTCCTCCACAATAACGAAGCAGAGATATATTGTGTACTTACTTTGCTCTCAATGCTAATTGTCTATCGTTCGGGCAGACAAACCTGTTGCCTCTCTCTCCTGCTCCGTAATCTACCATAATGCGACAACCGTGGAAATCGCTTTGTTTTTATTACCAGTCAGCTTTCGTCCTACTTCAGCTCCACCGATATTTGTGGAATCCGTGACCCGCACCTGCAAATGAAAGCTTTAGAGAACAAAGGTAAAAACGAAGGGTATTTCTGAAATAATTCAGTCGTGTAATATGTTTTGAGCTTTAAAGCTTTGGAAGGGTAGCTTTGAGTTACATACGGAAAAATACTCAACGAGTAGATACCTCTCTATAAAGCCTCAAGCGTATGGAAAAATATTTCTCCGGAATAATAAATATTGATGTGAGCATATTCAGTTATTCAGTATGATTTCTAAAACTGGTTTTTTATTCGATGCATTAATTTCCGGCGTGTTCCTTTTTTCATCAGATGAATTGCACATATCTATTATAAGAGTTGTGAAATGACTTCACTAACCAGTTTACGATGAATCCGATAAAATTTATATATGGTGATAAAAGAAACAGTGACCAGAGTTGACAAGTGATACAGTGACATCATTGTCAAAACAAAACATTTCTCAAATTTATTTGCCATAAATACTAACAAATTATCAATGTCATATCACACTACCACCCACAAAGATAATCAGTAATTACTTGTCGAAAGACGTACTCTAAAAGTTCTAAATTGAAACTGTTGTCATTTATATAACCTCAATAGCCCCCACTACCAGTAGACAGCTATCAAGAATTCATCAGATTCATCGGCTCTAGTTTCGATGTAGTTAATATAATTAATCAATGTAACTCGATGATAATAAACGAAAATTCATTGGTAGAAAGCCGGTGAAAAAAAAAACAGTCAGATTGGATTCCAATTACATCGGTGAGTTAACCGATGAAGGAAGAAACACGCATTATAATTCATATTTTGATACACTGGTACATTGCCAACGATGTCAGAAAGAAAAACTCAGAGTAAAATAGGTCTTTATCGAGCTTTGGAAAAGCCACTATATCAAATAGCATGGTCTTGACTCTAATTTCAGTTCAATTCATCAAAACCTGCAAAAAAGTGATAGTCATATAATTCAACCTACTCAAACAAACGTGAAAGATTCACAAGTAATGAAAAAACCATTTACATCAAACAATATGAATAAAATACAGTATTTGTTACAAATATGAAGAAATACCCCAATTAAAACGAAATTGCTCAAACTGCAAAGTTCAGTTGCAAAAATTGTTACAAATTAAAACGTTATGGCTCCGTTCGTGTACATTATTCGTGAAAGAAAACAATACAGTCAACATCGTACACCGAAAGAATCATATGTGAGATTATTATACAGGTTTTTAAATTGGTGATGCTGAACACATTGGTGTTACACAAAGTACCGTTTTGGAAGTGTGATCCAAGGTCCACGGAAATGTGGTCCACGGAAGTGTGGTCCACGGAAGTGTGGTCCACGGAAGTGTGGTCCACGTTGATACACTCGTAATCCTATACTCCTCTTTGGATGAATAATTCTTGAATGGGAAAATAATTATGGATCAAATTAGTGTCGAAGCTGGCGAATAGATCAAATTTTCCAGTTCGGAATACGAATTAAACTGAAGGGCTCAAACTGAATGGCAGTTTGACCCTGTATATATACAATGGCCGGGTTCAACCCTCCATAACAGAATATGAAAGTATTCAAGAAATACTTTATTGTGAGATTTTCACTGAACAGTTCAACGAAACCGCAACACGTGTTTTGTTGAACGCTATACTCATCACGCATCATTTATAGAATATGAAAGGATTCTAAAGTGTTCAACATCAGAATGCAGTTACAGTGGAGCTATACTACTGCTAGAAGTTACGGCACAACTCCATGGCTGATGATTTCCCACAAAATTCCACATAATGAACAGGAAAGACGATTCAGTAGGCTATAATTGAGCGTTTAGTAGAAAATCAACGTTTTCTTGGTCAGTTGAACGTTTGTAAATACTTCAATAAAAAGTGTATATCAAGTTGGAAAGTGCAACCAAATTAATTGTATGTATTTGATATGATTTTACCAAATATTTGAAAGATCCAGACTTTCAAGACAACAGAGTGATAGAAAACGATAAACAAATGCTGAAAATGTTGATAGTGACGATGGAGATGAAGATAATGATACTAGAACAAGGGGTATTCGAAAAAGAAGGGAGACTGGAAGAATCACAGTTAAAAAATTGTATTTATTTCAATTTGGTTTATTATATATGGCAAACTTAAATATGTACACACCAACAATGAAATGTTATTCACCAATTGGACCCAAAATTCAATAGAGAGACATTTAGTTTTCCAATGGTTCGTGGTGGTGGTGGAAATGGCGACGACCGTAGTCTTTTTGGTGGTGGTGAATGCGCCCTTGTTCTGAAAGAAGCAGCGGTACCGGCGGTTAATGTCATAATTGTAACTCTTGTACAACAATTCATTCATATGATTACATTCCTGGAATTTTCACTAAAACTGGATTTTCTTCACTCTCTAGCAGTTTATATAGAATCTTTTTCCATTTATCTGAATTAATTTTCACTTATTTCCTTCTTTTACATCGCCTTTTTTAACTTGGTGTTTATATTGGTTATATTTTTTTTCAAGTTGTTTTCAATTATTGATGTGATACTTTTTCCGAATGTATGTCAAAACTGTCAATATTTTCAGCGACGGTACTTGATATTTTTATAATACGATTTTATAAGTTGCCAAAATATTCAAGAAATTTAATTTCTTTTCAACTTTCGATTTCAGCTTCTATTCTAACTTGGTGAAATATATGTCTATTCCAAAAAAAGTCAAGAAACAGTTCACGCTCTTTCATTCCGCCTTTCCTAATCCCGATTGAGACGTTATTTCAAAATGTCTATCTCTGTTCAGAATCATCTCTCTAGTTGACAGGAGTGCTTACTATTACTTCAAAATGTAGTTTTAAATTATAACACAAAGTTTATAAAATTACGATAGTAATATTGTTAGCAACTTACAAGCTGAAAAGCTGAATGCTGAATGACAAGGTAAAACTTTGTATTGGTATCAACAAAACTTTACATGGAATCGTGAACTACACTTCCAAAATCTACAAGTATCAAATAATTATTATTACTCGGCTGCGTATTATTCATACTGAACTTTCACACTTCTACTTTGTCTTTCAAAGTGAAAAATTCATTTGTCATATATCGTGAGTTTCTGAAGGTACTTTGAGAATCATTAATTAGTGAAAAAATAAAATAGCAAATAACAAAGTAACATTCTTTCAAAAATATCCGTAGCAGAATATCGCACGTTTAAAGGTGAGATCCTGTTAATCTTTAGCTCGCACAAGTTTCTACTGCTGAAGGTTGGCGTTCGTAGAGGCTACAGCTAGTTAACGGAAAACCAGATTTTAATAGATGAAGAGGCCAGGGGAAAAAAGTTAACGTTCATTATTATTAGATTTTGGAATTGAGGTTATTTTCTGTATATTATAACGCATAGAATCTTATAGCGTAGTCGTTGTAAGCAAGAAATATGAGGTACGAAGGCATTGCAGTTCAAAGTTCAGTTGGTTTGGGGAAGAAAGATGAATGTATCAGCGAATGGGAGAAAAAAGATTGAGTGTCTAATAAGTTGGCGGCCTTGATTCACTGTTTCACGATAGGATAAGTATATGTACAGTTCCTTAACTATTTTTTTCAATAGTCAGAATCAATGAATACGACCAAGTTATTGATGAATAGAATATTTTTTCAAAACCCACAAAGAGGTCGATCAAAAACTTTGATTTCCTTGACAAAAAATTACTTCCTTTCAATGAAATTCCATCATCAACACTCGTAAAAATGTATTATTCGGTACTTCCATATGTATGTGAAGAATATGTTAAATGGCTATGACTCATGGGTGTATACACAATTTTACTTTGAATCCTTTTTTTCTGATATGAGTAATCATTGTAGGAACTACAGGGATGATCGAAATACAAATTTATTTTTTTGTAATCACTCGTAAAAGCGAAAGAAATTAACTCAACAATTTTACTGTGAACACAGATATCGAAAAACAATTCTACGTCATTTTTCAATATTTGATTTATCGTATTTCAATTTATGATAACTTCAATCTACGTCAACCTACGTCCAACAAATTCATATTGTAAATGATACTCTAATGATCAATAGGTTGTTATTTCTGACATCAAAAAACTGTTATTCTACAAACCTACAGTTTGACATTATCACGAGTAGTGAAGGAACATATTAGTTGATTTGGAAATATCGTTCATGCTGAAAGTTTAATGTCGAACAATCATTAGGCTGAACTTAATCCTTTTTTCTTCATTCAATTCAAAAACTCACATTACAAGTACTTTTTGACAATTGCTAGTATTGCTAGTATTAAATATAAATTGACCAACATATTACCGTATACTGTACAGCAGCTGAATAATATCTGATATAGTTCACAGTTCCTCTTAAAAGAGCGTCTTTGTAATCAGCCAGACTGGCTGGAAAACGAGTATCCAGAATGAAAGAAATAGATATTACTACACAACGAATAACAAGCATGTCCTTGTATCTATTTGAAAACGTAAACTTGAAATCTAAAAGATTAGATAGATAGAGTACATTTTTGTATTGTATTCAACAAGAAATTGGTAATCTGTCTAACCTGATCATAACGACAAAAATTATGAAGAAGAGTATCGAGATTCATGTTGCAGATTAAACATTTGTCAGTAAGATATCTTCCAAGTTTAAATTTTTTCCATCATGAGTTCGAAGGTAAATTTAACTTTTATGCTGATAATTGAGAATTAGATTATTGACGTTTTTGAATATTAGATTCCACTTTTTGTAATATCATTGCGTAATAAAAATATTTGGAGGCCATACTTTGAACAGTTATGATTTTTGTATCAATATAGATAGCCTCAGTGAATACTCTTCTCAATTGAGGAAATTAATGTAGATAGCGGTTTGAAAATAGTGGATTATTAATATCATTTAATGAGAAATCGTATAAATTCAATTCGTTTCGGGAATCTTCATTCAGCCGATTCATCAAAAGTGTGTTAGTGTTCATCCATGGATCTTGCATCGACAAACCTCCCAGGTATTTGGGAAGTATGATCCTAGTAACCCTTAGAGGTGAGTGATTTCCGAGAAACCAACCACAAATTGAGGATAACCTTTTTGGCAACCAATTTTGGTATGGATAGTATTTTATTCAAAAACCATGCCTTCTACAGAGCATTACAGTTTATGAATCGAACTCGTTGAAGTAGACTTAGTTTTCGACATTTGTTCTATAAAACTTTGGCCAGTATCTTATTAAATTTGGTGCCAATTTTTTCGATATTCTGTAATCAAGAAATCTTCAAATTTTTTTCTCAAACATGTTTTCATTGAATTGGGGTTTGTTCAGAAGTTCCTCAATATTTGACATATAAACAGTTATTTTCTCGAATAATATAAATTTTTACGGCCGTAGATAACTGTAAAAGCTACTTTCCAGGTTTTTTGGCCGTAGTCTGCAGTGGCCTGACGTTTCATCTACTACTATGGACATTTTTTTTATCAAGATGGAGTAGTAGAAAGCCAAAAACTTTCTTTCCCAAAAATATCATACTCATTATTTCAATAGTATAAACAATTCTGTCATTACTTCAGAATATTTTTTTGATTCTAACTAATATGACAAAAAAAACTTAAAAATCAGGGATATTTTTTGAAACTTTCGAGAAAAAGACCTCACTGATTTATTTATAAATAACTCACCAAAATCTTCCACAAACTTCTGTATAAAGTTTTGATACGATATATAAACGTTCGAGAAAATGCACCGACAGCGTGATTATTCAGAACGTTATTCGCACACGACTTCGTTGAGTGAAAGTTGAAAACAAACTGACGCCTGTTGAATATTCTTATCGAGGCGTCGAGACGACGTGACGTCATTTGATCGATATCGCCACGGTCGGAGAATGAGCAAGGAAATGAGGGTAACCTTCCTATTCTCTATGGTGGCATTTGTTTTCATCGTATTGAGAGAAAATGCAGGGAGGTTGAATACAAATTCAGTTGGATGCTATCGTATTTTTAGAGATATATCAAATTAACATTTTGACAAGTGTTTGTAATCACAGCAGAATGTAAAGCTACTTTTAGTATAAAAGGCATATACTCCTATATAAATCAGTACTCAAAATACTTATTTTTGATATCATTCGCGTATTCAGGTGAATCTGTTTAAAAAAATCTGTTTTTCCGTTAACCAGCTGTCGCACCCCTACGAACGACAACCCTCAGAAGTCAAAACTTGTGTGAGCTAAGGATTAACGAGGTCTTACCTTTTAACGTATGATTCCTAACACGGGTTGGACGATAGCAAGTGAAGATCGATCGTTCAGACTAGGGCTTGAACCACCGACCAAAACGGCAGTCAATTCGAGTAAGTGAACAAAGCACCCACGCCGAACCGCTTGGCTACCGACCGACCGGTCGGTAGCCAATACCACCAATACCTGGCTAATACCACGAAGGGCGTTGGATTATATGCTCTTTCAGTTGTATTGCCAATTGCATATGCAGGACATTTTCTGTGAAGATTCCTGCACTGACGCCTGTCGGATATAATCCAACGCCTTTCGTGGTATTAGCCAGGGGAGTAGTTGTTTTCTGATAGGTGTCAGTCCATTAAACCTACTGTGTAGGTATATAGAGACTGGCTGGAACTAGTGAAGTTCCATTTACTTTAGATTTGCTATTCAATATAATCTTGAACCATTCTAACTTCCAACCGAAATTCAGCCTACGGAATTCATATGACTCCCAATAAATAAAATAGAGAACATACCTCTACCAGACAACGCAAAACTACTATCCTTTGATGTGCAGAATCTATTTCCCAGCATACCTCCTGCTGATTCTATTACTTCAGTATTAGAATTATCAGATAAAAATACAATGAACCCAGTCATAAAACTAGAAATAATTGATCTTCTGTCGTTATGTCTCAAACAAAATTATTTTCAATTTAACAATAATATTTATTTCTCCTAAAAAGGTTTAATTATGGGAAATCCATTGAGCCCCTTATTTGCAGAAATTTTCATGGATAATCTAGAGAATTCGATCTTTAAACATCCTTTGATTAAGAATTTCTTGTATTGGCATAGATATGTGGATGACGTTTTGGTATGTTTTACTGGTTTCAAGAGGCAATTAGATACTTTTCATAGGGATATTAACAAAATTCATGAAAACATTGAATTCACTATTGAAATAGAAGCAGACAACTCAATCAATTTCTTGCACTTAACAATTAGTAGAAGGAACAACAAAAATTATTTTTCAATTTATCACAAACCGTCCTATACGGATACATTACACAAAGTAGCAGCTTATAATAGCATGATTCACAGATAATTTCAATAAAGAACTTAATATCATCAAGCAAATTGCGGTTGACAATGCGTTTAAATCCGAATTAATAAACAAAATACTTGCCAAGAAAGTATACGCAAAAGGAGAAGTTTTTTCCATTGATAAGGTAGATAATCAAAATTATAGAGCTTTACCGTATTTCGGACAACCAACGGAAAAAGTTGCTTCATTTTTGAGGAAAAGAGATATTAAAATTGCATATAGAACAAGTAATACGTTGGGAAAGTTAGTTAAGAATGATAAAGACAAAACATCAAAATTCGAGAAATCAGGAGTATATAAATTAAAGTGTGGAACGTACCCTAAGGTATATATTGGTCAAACTGGCAGAACATTTAGGAATCGAATCCAGGAACATCATACGAGCTATATAAATAAGAAAACAGATTCAACACATTCAAATCATCTTCTAGCAGAAAATCATATCTTTAACGAAGAGTTAGAAATTTTGCACATAGAAAATAAAGGTTTGAAACTGAATCATTTGAAAGCAACGGAAATTAATGAACTTAAAAATTCAAACATTTTAATGAATGACCAACTAGATCTGAATAGATCGCCATTATTGAACTTGTTTTCTTAAAAACTGAGAAAGAATTATTATTGATGTAGATCATCAGGTAATCATAATTGAACAAGTAACTTAGGTAGACGTTTAGGTAATTTTTTGGAGGTGATCTCAATTATGGTTCCTTGAAGCATATGAATATTAATGTAAGAACAACTTGAAGTATTCGAATCACTTGAAAAAACTACTGTACTATTAGTGAAACATGTTGTTATATATTTTCAAATAAAGTTTGTGGAGATCAAATCGTGAGCTGTAGTTTTTGAAACATCGGTTATGATAAAATGGTTTCGCTTTCAACTGACGGGGCCCCACCACTGATTGCAAAGAAAAAAGGTGTAGTAAAGAGAACCAGAGATAAAAATTGAGGACTAATATCGTATCAGTTCTTAATTCACCAGGGACTCATTGTGAAAAACTTAGTGCTACACTCAAAGAAGTGATGGACAACTTGATCATGTTGATTAATTTTATGAGATCCCATTATACTCTTCAGCACCGACATTTCAAAGAGTTCCTTCCTGAATGCGATTCTGCGTTTTCTGACTTACTACAACACAACAATGTTCGTTGACTAAGTAAAGATCAAGTTATTGAACTTTTTTGGCTAATAAAAGAACAAGTATCCTCCTTCTTGCAAAACTTGGATACGCAGGGAGCCAGAAAGCACTTTGAGTTTATAAAAAANGGAGGGTCTGCTCTGATTTTTTTTGCAAAAATGTTTTTGAATCTCTGTGCTATTACATTGTGGTGTACCGGATTATCTGGATTGGATATGATGGATGCTGCGTAGGTGAGTGTCATAAGCTTCCTTCTGTTGGCTAATGATGCTTCCTTCTGTTGGTTAATGGGGATAATTGATTTGCAAGTGTATACAACGGTATCCACTGAAGAATTTTGGGCCAAACATGTCCCAGAAAAATATGAAAATTGTAAAAGACTAGCTATCAATTTGGCTAAATTAAACTATATGGGATACTCACGGATTTCCGCGATTTTTTCAGGGATGATACTAGAGGATGGTAGGAATTCAGAACACTTTTTATTTTTTGTCGGACTTATTTAGTTTTCGAGATATAGTCTGTCAAAGTTTGTATGACGTCATATTTTCCTTCTTTTAAAAGCAACAAACGATTGCAATTCACATATTTTTTTATTTAACACAACTTTTTCCATATCATCGCACCTTTTTCTATTCCGTTTCAATCACTTATTGCCGAGTTTCCTGAAATTAGAATAAAATTCCTTAATCGACACATCGACATAACCTTATAGAAAATACATTCCTTTTAGAATTCGGAGGTCAGGTTGGAAGTTGAGGAAACGTAGTTTTTACAAAAGTAAATATTCGAAAATACGTTCCTTTTAGAATTCGGAGATCAGGTTAGATGTTTAGGAAATATAGTTTTTACGAAAGTAAATATTCGAAAATACATTCCTTTTAGAATTTGGAGGTCAGATTAGATGTTGAGGATACATAGTTTTTTAAATTCTAAAGTTAGGTTAGACTGAGTTAGGTTAGGTCGGGTTAGGTTAGGTTGGCTAATGATGCTTCCTTCTGTTGGCTAATGGGGATAATTGAATTGCAAGAAGATGTGTCTTTGCAAATGTTAGGTTGCAAATGTTATGGAATTTCAATCTGATTTCAAGAAATTTGGCAATGAGTGAATGAAAAGGGATAGAAAAAAGTGGGATGATATAGAAAAAGATGTGTTGAATAAAAAATATGTGAATTGCAATCGTTTATTGCTTAAAAAAGGCTATAATTCGAAAACTAATTGAGTCCGACAAAAAATAAAAAGTGTTCTGAATTCCTACCATCACGTAGTATCATCACAGAAAAAATCGCGAAAATCCGTGAGTATCCAATAAAGTAAAATTCTCCCATCAATTTGACCACTATATTTGGCTCGACATACATATATGTGAAACATCTTTCTCAAAGATGATTTTTTTAAAAAACAAAATATTGTTCGAGATTAACAGACGCTCACCTAGAAGACACACTTCGAATTTGCTGTTCCTCTCGAGAACCAAACTATACAAAACTGGCTCAAGACCGTCGGTGTAGTTTCTCACATCACGGTGTATTTCTTTTATAATTCAGAATGTGATTTGAAACCAATATTATATGTAGCACTTCATTATTAATATTGTTTTTTTTTCTGGACCCCCGAAATCGTCTGCCTCGGCTTCTCCTGCACACTGATATTACGTTTCGTCAACGTACGATTGTTGGTCGATCGAATGCTGTACCAGTGGACTTGAATTTATTCACCACATTGCAAATAGTCCTTTCAATAGGACGATTATGGCGACCATAAAATGGACGAAGCGCGCGATACGTTCTTCGAACAGAAAACTCACTTTGATAAAACAAATTCATTTGGCTCGTGTTGTTGTTCATCCGTCCATGGTGATTTGGCAACATAGACTAAATAAATGACAACTAATTTGACAGATGTAGCTTCAACAAGATGGCTGTTATCAATTGTCCTTGTTGGAATACCCCATCATACTAAGTACGTTATCATGAATATTGATCAAGTATCGGCCAATTTCATCATCAAGGAAAAAAAGATGAAGGTCCATTATCATTAGATTTTGAGATTGAGTTTATTTTTTGTACACTAGAACACACAGAACCTTATAGCGTAGTTGTTGTAAGCAAGAAAAATGGGGGTAAAAAGTTATTGCAGTTTAAAGTTTAGTTGGTGATTCGTTAGGTCGTTTTAAGAAAAAAAGTTCTCATGAATATATATCCGGAGTTGCTTCGTTTCTGAGATACGTTTCTGCCTAAACCAATTTGGTTGAAATCTGCTACAGTTATTTGAAGTAATAAGGCGCTTATTTAGCCCTAACTAGATTGAAACTA